TGACAGACCCCCGGGGGCGGCAGCAGGGCCGCCGCTGCTCCCCGTGCCCTGTTTTCCTCCGGTGCCAGCCTGACCGAGCCGGGGCGTCGGCCCCGGGGGAGATAACCACCGCCTGCCGCCCCGCCGGGCGGTGAGTGGGGCCCGCAGCGGGGCTCCGGGTTGGCAGAGTCCTCCCGCATCCGCTACCGGAACGGGTCGCGAACCGCGCGCGCTGCCCGAGGCGCACGGGACGGTGAGGGTCGTTGCTAGATCCGGGCTATGTTTGTTTCCAGAAACGTTCCCCGTGTGCTCTGCAGAGCTCGCTCCCTTCCGGGGTTCTTTGTGCCGGGGCGCGCCCCGACGATTTCTATCCTCGTCCTTTTCTAGCGGTGCCTCTTTGTGGTTTTCTCCTCTTTCCAATGCGCCCGTCCAAAGATCTCCTCTCCGCCTCCAGCGCGCAGCCCATACGGTGGGGAAGCCCTTGTTCGGACCCTACCTATAAACCCAAGTCTTCAGTTTTTTTGGAAGTTATTTGGCCGTTGCCCTTTTCTTGCTGCCTTCTGAATAACTGTATAACGAGCATTGTTTTGGAGCGCGGGAGGATTCCTCGTGGATACGCAAAAAAAAGGGCATATAAATATGTATACATAGCGGGAGTTACTTTAAATGTAAATCTGCATAGGAATGGTCCATTAAGCTGATTTTAAAGCTTTTTGCCTTCCAGATTGTATGCTGCCGCTTTGAAGCGGGGAAGCCGCGTGCTGTGAAAGGGGACCCGGCTCCTCCTCTCCGTGGGCTGCAGACCTCAGCGGCGGGGAGCTCCGTGTCTCTGGCGGTGAAGTTCAGCACCGTGTTTTACTTCTTGTGACCTCAGCCCTTTCTGTCTTTCAAAACCATGTTCCTTCTTGAGAAGTTTAGGCCCGTTTAGTACTGAAGTTGATTAGAAACGCTTTAAACCCTCCTCCTGGCACGTTGTTTTTGGATTTGTTCCTGTTTCTCATTTTACAATGGTTTATTGCTCGGCGCTGAACTGTCAAAACGCCACCAGCGGGGTGTACAAGAACAGTTCTGTTACTTTCTACGGTTTTCCTTTACAAAATCAACCTCTCTTGGAGCAGTGGATTCACAACATGGGCCGGGACATGGGAACGCCTTCCAGGCATCAGCGCCTGTGTTCGAAGCATTTTGAGGACAGTTCTTTTGAAATTGACCCCTTAAAAATTAGGAAAAACAGACGTCTGCTGAAAGAAGCTGTTCCCAAAAAATTCATTTTGGGTGAAGACGGAAGCTGGCTCGTTGGCACACCCCGAAGTTTCTGTGGTGGGATAAGTAATAAAACTCGAAAACGAATCCGGAATCCTGAGCACTCGAGGGTAATTAAGATGTTTGCTATTGTATTTCCTTCCCTTAAATTAAAGGAAGATTTGCATGTAAAGCATTTCAAGGAAGCGGCGGTAGGTGAAACATGCTACGTGGCCGTAAAATGTTGCCAGTGAGGCAGCGGGTTTCGTTTTTCTCCCTGGTGTTGCAGAGGGTGGAGGCGGCGCTGGGAGGTCGGTGACTGGGGAAATTCAAGGCCTCTTGGTGCTCTTTGTGCTCCCATGCCAATTTTGTGCCGAAACGTCAGGGAGAAAAATCTGCTGTTTGTTGGCAACGCGGTCCCGCTTCACGCTGTAAAACGGGTTCGCTCCCCGCAGACCTGTATTGGGACGCGACAGTCCTTGTGCTCGGAAAAATTGCCTTTAGAGTCAGCGCGATGATTTGTTGGTGGCCCAGTGCCCGCGGTGTGGGTGGTCGGGGCTGAGACCACGGCTTAGCTTCCGCTCAGCCTTCTCCCCTGTGTATTTAATTTGGATTGTGATCCCATCTAGCGACAAACGAATGAAACGTAATTATTTCTCTTGGCGGGGGATTTGTACAGTTGGGTTTATACGTGGTGCGAGCCGCAAAACACCCGAACCAGTGAGGTGGGCGTTAGGTTAAAAGGCAAATCAAAGCGTATTCAAAGGCAAGCACGTACAAACGTGGCACTCTAGATATAAAGTCCAGATACAACACACGCAGACGGTATGTACATATACACCGCAAAAGATGCGGGATTCATCTCTCAGTGTTTGTAGGGCTTAATTTTTCGTTTGTGTTAGAACTGTCGCGGGCAGATCTGGCAGACCCTGGCACTTATTTAAAATATTTGTCAATTTATCAACTTATTTAAAATATATTATCAGGGCTTATTTAAAATACGCTCTGGAGTATTTTCTGTTGTTCAGTGAAAGGCAGAGCCAAGTTCTCTGATGGGGCTGGGTATCGATGGTGACCAGAGATAATTTTATTTTTTTACAACTAGTGTTTGACCCAGTCATTACAGAAAGTCATTGTTTCAGCTGAGTCCCATTATTTTTAAGTAATTTTACTCATCGTGAGCTACATACAGAAATAACAGTAAAAGATTCCTGTATAAAGTCCTTAATTAGTGACCGCTTGTTTAATACTGTTTGAAAAAGAGGATTTCAAGGATGTACGACTCGCCAATGGCGTTGACTATCGAACGCTTTGTTTTAGGTCGCTGGGACATCTGACAGTGCTGCAGCGCGTGAGGGGAAGGACTTGGAAGACTGGCAGAAAGAACTTCACAAGAAAGTGATAAAGGAGAATTGTGAATCTTTAACCACGTTGGGTAAAGGTGAGTTTTCCCTTTCTAACATGTCTATGCTGTTTCTGGCCTGGCTCTTGTCTAACAGTCGCTCCTCAAATCCCTTGGTTTCTGGTGAATTATTCTT